GGCTGCCCCCCATCCCTCAGCACCTGCGCGGAGCAGGTCCGCCATCGCCACATGGATCTTCCTGAGGCGAAGCTGTGGGAGCGAGTCGGCCCGCAGGAGCAGGGGAGAGGCATTTTATCAGCGTCCCCCCCAGGAGGGAGAGGGTGGAGAGCAGAGCAGCGCTGCCCGCCATTACGGGCACAGCCGGGACCCGCGGGCGGCGAGGGAATTCCCCCCACACAGACGTTTCCCAGATGGCCTGCGGGTGTGTGTAGTACTTTGATGCAACACTGGGGATATCCAGGTTAGGAAAAAGTTGTGTTTTCTCGATCCGCTTCCTAGATGTGGTGTGTTTGTGCCGTGTTTCCAGATGTCCAGCTGCTGTTTCTGCAAAGGCCAGCCTTGCTGTGACCCAGCCCTTCAGCGCTCACACTTTCCATCAAGGGGTGGCCCCCAAACCCCACAGTCCCTGAGGGACTTCCTGGAGCCTACCCGGTGTCTGGCTGTGCCCTCTGCTCAGACACTGTCAGTTTTATGGATCCTGATCCCCCCCAGCCACCCCTGCCCCAGCCCAAGCTCTGTCCTCACACAGGTCTGGTTGTCCTTCCTAACATGCTTCAATATCAGCCTGGCCCTCAGAAGAGGATCGGCCGCCTACAGTCCTCGGCACAGAAAGCGTGCCCTCGGCTGAACCCCTCCTCCGCTGCCTCTCTCTGCTGCCAGACACAGTGCTGTGACCCCTCTTGCCTGGCACAGCTCACACAGCACTGCTGCCTGCTCATTTTTTGGTTAGAGAAAACCGTGTGGCAACTCCTGCATTCAGAACCAGGAAAATGGGCTGAGAGACTTCTCCAGGGGAGCTCCTAACGGGCTGGCGGCAGGAGGGTTGTGGAGAGCCCCAAGCCTGGCAGCAGGAGGGCCCTTACCAGCGCCGGGTGCTGCAGGACCTGGTGCTCGCTGCCCTGCCCCATTGTCACGCTTCTGCCCCTCTCCACGCAAAGCAGGCGTTCACTGTCTCCTCAACAGCCCTCTCTTGGATTCTTCTCATCCCTCGCTCCCCGTAAGCTGCCCCGCTGTGACACCTTGCTCTGGTCCTCGCTGCTCTCATCTGCTAGCAGCTCTGCACCTTCCCAGTGAGTGACCAGCCAGAGACTCAAGGAGCTGATACACGGTTCAGCTGCAATCCAAGAAATAAACACAGGGCGCCTGCACCCCCACCACCAAGGCAGGGCCCTTCCCCAGGATGGATTGTGGCATGTGTGTATCAGCCCAAGGCACACAGCATGGCCTCTCCATCCTGGTGACGGGGGTAATCATGGGAGGTGCAACTCAATCAGAGACCTATGGTACTGTCCCAGTGTCGCGGGCAGCCTGTACAGCCCCTGTGGCAGTGCTGAGGGGTCTTCGCTGGGTTGTGAAGTGGGAGAAGAGTATGATACACAACATGCAGCATCCCTTTTCATTGGTTAAATTGCAGGTTCAGAACTGACTTAGAAAACAGCTCTCCTCTGTCTCCTGAAGGACTCTGCAGCATTGGATATTCCCTGAAATTCCCTTTACCAGCTAAAATGTTCAGGCATCACTTACGTGGTGCCATCTGTGCCCAGTAACTTGTGACTGAGCCCTTGCTGTGCTGCACCTTGTGGCTGAGTTGCTTGACCTTAGCTAGTGGTTTGGAATAAAGCAGCAAGGATGGACACAGGGAGAAAATAGAAATGAGCTGCCCTAGGGAAATAATCATCCCCACCCTTTTCAAAAATAGGTATTCGCATACCCTTGGGAATCCTGTTCCCTCAGCAAAGAAGCTAATCCCGGAACAAAAGCTCCCAGATGGTTTCAGCCCAGGGGTTACAGCTTGAGGAATGATCCAAGAGGTGAATATGTCATTGCCTGAGGGCAGGACAGCATCTTCCTTCCTGCCTAAGTAGCACTAAGTGCATAAACAGTACCAGAAATCAGGTCTGATCCAGCCTGCACAGCCACTGCCCATGTCGAGACTGGGCACACAGAGCTCGACAGGAGAATCAGCAGATTATCTGGCTAATTACATCCTGTTCTCTCCAAATGAGGCAAGTTTCTAAGACGTTGCCCTGGTAAATTGGCAAGAGCAGGGGAAGAAAAATCAAGGTAATTGCTAATGAACTGAACTCAAAATCAGCCTGATAAATATTCCTTGGGCTTTGCACACACATTTCCCTTTCGTTTCACCAGGGACTTGCAGGCCAGTAGCACCCAGGCCATACATTTTCTGAAAGCAATGTAATTCCAGGGGAGCTTTTAAAATTAAAATTACCTCTTGACAATTTAAATTAGGCTGGACTGGGTTAGACTGGAAGTCCATCAGACCTGGGGCTTTTCCTGCTCCCAGGCTCTCGCCTCACAGACACAGACTGGGCTGTCGGCTGTATCGCCCTGGATATTTTAACTGAGTTTCCATCCCTTTACAAGGCTTGCTCCAGTTTCTCCCCCTTGCAATGGTTTTGCTCTCTCCCCATGGCCTCAGCAAGCACCAGCTACTTCCAGACTCCTTGTGTGGCTCTTGGATAAACTAAATCTGTGTGATGGGATGCCTCTTTCAGGACACTGCTTCCATCATCCCTCACCAGCTGCTCTCCCAAGGAGAAACACCATTGCCAGAGCACCGGTGCTCACATCCAGTTAACAGATGTGGTCTTGTGAAGGTAACCACGGTGCAGGTGCAGGGGCATGGGCACGCTGCTCTTCTGCTATCCCTGCTCACGCTCTGGCTCCATCCTTTGCCGATTCATGTCTCAGTTCACTCTTATAGACTGATGAGGCTTTAGGCATGGCAGGCACAAGATCCTCCATCAGCTCAGTGAGGACACCCTGCCCATCGGTGGGAAATGAGCCGGCGGCCATCTGGGCTTGGCATGTGCTGCAGCCCTGGGGACAGCAGCCCCTGGAGGCAGCCACCCTGCATGACCCCAGAAGCCGCTCAAGTCTGAAGAGTGAAACACACTTCTCATCAGGGACAGTGCTGGAGCAGTCATGGGAACCCACAGCCCTGATCACACAGGGGACTGCCTCGGCACAAACACCCCAGAGATCACTTTCTCCTTGAGTAAGGCTCATGAGTCTGCAGACTAATACTTCCCCTGCCCTTTCTATGTTCCTTATTCACATACAACTTTTTGTACAAGTGCTACATTGGGAACACCTCCTTCCCTGGGGTCCCTGGTCTTCAAAGCCTAGGTTAGGCCAGGGTTTACCCCAGCTTAGTGGACCCTTTTGGCTCTACACTGAGCCATGCGAAATGATGCAGCAGCCCACGAGTAGGTCCTTTTTCCCAGTTCAGTGGTGCACAAGGTGGGAGAGGTTGCAGAGCTGCCTCCTGTTTTCTCAGCTAACCCCTTTCCAGCTCTGATCCATGTGGATTCCTATAGTGGGAGAAGCTGGGAACAAGCCCTTCCCAAGCAGGTGTGTAAGGGTAGCCCAAGCGAGGCTTGCACTTCAGTAATAAACACTGTCTGGTAGGAAGAGATCCATGGGCTGAGCCAGAAAGAAAAAGACATCTCCTTTGGAAAGACAAAGGCCAGAGCAAGATGTGGGGCTGGGTGAGCCACAACCTTGGGACTGCGGGGATGGACAGGGAAATGCCATGCTGCAGAGGGTTATGGGGACATGGGGACAGGACCTGGTGTCACCTGCATCATGAGAAGGGAACCTGCAGTGCCAAGCCAGGGCTGCTGGGGGCAAGAAGGGAATTCCCTGGTTCTAAACAGCCAGGGAGAATACCCAGGAGAAGGATGGCCGGCCACTCTTTGACCCAGTGCCTCATTTCAAGAACTCCCTAGCTGGCTCCAGCCCATCCCTCTGCTCCCTCTCGCTCTGTTCCTGCTCCCCTGCTCCGAGATGGGGCTGCTCCCTTCTCCTGTGCGAGGGCAGAAGGCAGGACTATTCCTCATCCCTCATCTTGTCCAGTGGAGGAAAAGGGCTCTTGCAGCATCCCTTCCTGCAGCAGTCCCTGCCCTGCCTGGAGGAGATGCTGAAGGAGGGGTCATCCATCCCTCTGCCTTCTCCCTGCTGCCAGCACCAGATGCCCCATTTTGGGGAGGAGGCAGCCCTGCTTCCCACCGCCTGACATGCCAGAAGCTGGAGCTTTGATCCAGGCACAGCTATCTGTGCGCTGATCGCTGCCTTTCCTGCAAGGGCCCTGTTCAGAGGCGAGGACACATTTCCTTTAACCCCTCCTTCCCTGAGCC